GTCCCTGTGTCCCCTCACTGAGCTCCCCACTGCCAGCCCAGCCTTACCTTCCTCGGGGCACGCCGCCGGCACCACAGGTACAGGGGTGTCCCCAAAAGCAGGACGGGCACCGACGCCAGCGCCAGCACCACCAGCACCATCTGCACGGGCACCTGTGGCACAGGGACAGCGTTTTGGGGCCCCCTATGAGCTACCCAAGCTGAGAACGGCCCTGCTTGTGACACCAGGACTTCCCACTGTTCCCACCCTGGGTAGGGCCTGAATACCCCACAAATGGGTGCCCCAAATGGCAGTGAGGTGGTACCTGCCCCTGGTACAGTGGGAGGTTCTCAGCATTGGAGGCAAAGAGGAACATGTCGATGAAGTGGATGAGGATGCTGGGAGCCACCAGGGAGTTAGCAGCGCTGAACTTGATCCACTTGTAGAAGATGAGGAAGACCAGGTAGCCAAAAAGGGCCAGGAGGAAAATCATCTCTGGGAGGAACTCCAGGACCAGCCGGTGCTGCTGCTTGAAGTGCCTAAGCAGGGGGACATCAGTCACGCTCACCCTGTCTCTCCTCACCCTCACATGTCCTTGGTGCCCACAAAGGTGTAGGGGTACAGGACCCCAGTCACCCACCCATCCCACCCAGGTGAGTCCAATCCCAGTACCCTTGGCATGATCAGAACTCATGGGCACAGCCCAGGGACTCACAGGTGGTTGAAGACCCCAAGCACAACCCCGAAGCCCATGTGCACAACGCCCAGCACCACTGACATCTTCATCTTGAAGGAATTGAGAAAGTTGAGGTGGTTGATGGCCAAGCTCCAGATCTGTGATGGAAAAGGTGGGTGAGATTCTGGGCCACCCCATGAGGGTCCCAGTTCATTGTCACCCCCATGGGACACTCACCGGGTCAATCCCAAAAGGATAGGGCCCTCGGAAGACACCGGTGACATTGGGGTCCAGGGTGAGGAAGCGGTGGGTGGCGAGGTAGGTAGAGCTGGGGGCAGAGCAAGGGATGTCACCAGCAGCAGGGACAGGGGGACCTGGGCAGGGGTCACAGAGGTGGGATCCCACCTCCAGGAGGAGTGGTTGGCCATGGTGGCCACGCTCCAGGCGGAGGGGAAGATGACGGTGGCTTTGCTGAAGCACTCATTGTAGATGAAGCCAGTGTAGATGGAGAAGGCACCCATGAGCAGGATGAGGTAGCGCCCCTCAAAGAACGTCAGCCAGATCTGGTGGGGGCAAACATGGCTCACATGTCCCCCACCATATGCCATCCTCCTCCAGAACCCCCAGCCCTGACCCATGCTGTCCCTGTCTCATGCCACCAGCCCCATCCTGTACCATCAACCACATCCCACACCCTCAACCATGTCCCACATGCCTCCAAGCCCATCCCAACCCTATCCCAATCCCTATCCCACATCTCCCACCCCATCCCACCTCTCCATCCCACCCCCACCTCGTTGGTGCCCTGTCGCAGGCGGGGGCTGTCCTCGTACAGCACCATCCAGAGCGCGAAGAGAAACATGAGCAGTCCATGCCCCACATCCCCAAACATGATGGCAAAGATGAAGGGGAAGGTGATGATGGCGTAGGGCGCTGTGGGGACAGAGGGACCATGTCACACAGGGTGTGCCCCCAGCCCCGGGCTGTGGTGGGGATCAGGGGTACCTTACCAGGGTTCACCTCCTGGTAGCTGGCCACGCCATAGGCGTCCACGATGCTCTGGAAGCCAGCGGTGAACTTGTTGGTGCGGATGAGGGTGGGAGGGCTCTCTGAGGTGGGGACACGCTGCACGAAGCACTCCACGCTGGAGCCGCTCTGGTACTGTGGGGACAGCACCCAGAGCTTGATCTTGGCATCCCTCCACATTGCACCCACCCCACCATGGCACGGGGACATGAAGACACCAAGCAACTCCAGCATAAGATCATGGGGACACCAAGCAACCCCAGCACAAGGACATGGGAACACTGAGCAGCTCCTGGCATGAGAATACAGGGACACTGAGCAGCTCCTGGCACAAGGACATGGGGATACCAAGCTGCTCTGACATGAGGATGTGGGGACATGAGGAAACCCCAGCACTGAGCAACTCCAACACAAGAACATGGGGACAATTAGCAACTCCTGGCACATGGACATGGGGACACCAAGCATGCCCAGGACAAGGACACAGGGACACTGAGCCACCCACCGATCCCTGGCGCAGGGCATCCTGCACTTGGGTGAGGTCCTGCACAGGGCACCAGACCTCGGCAATGAGGCACTTCTCAGTGATGTCAAAGCTGCACTGGTTGAGGACGAGGTAGATGGCCTTCATCTTCTGCACCTGCACGCGCCAGGCAGGCAGCGCCAGCGCCACCTTGTCCAGCACCTGTGCCAGGTACTGCTCTGTTTCCTCCAGCACCTGCAGACACCTGGGTCAGGGATGGGGGGGTCCTTCCATGGCCCCCAGGTCCCCTCATGGTGCCCAGCTCACCACACTGAGGTCCTGGATCTGGCTGTGCAGCCCAGACATGGTGTCTGCCCGGCTGGCGTCGCGGCTGGCGTCGCTCTCCGGGCATGGATACACCTGGCAGTGGAAGCTGAGACAGATGGACACCACTGTGTCAGGGTGGGGCCAGGACTCCCAAACCCATTCCCCTGGAGGGGTCCAGAGTGGGTCACACTAAATAAACCTCCACGTGGCCAGACACGTGGCTGCTTACCAGTCCGAGATCTTGCGGATCTTCTGCCCAATCTGCTCGCCCCAGTAGGATATGAGGAAGATGACCCAGGTGATGCTCTCACCCTGGGGACAGCACAGCCTGTGTCACCCTCAGTGCCCAGCCCCCACAATCCTGCCAGCCCCCCTGGGTGCCCCCTCACCGTGGCTGGGTCCTCCATGGGCTCGGGCATCTCCACGCAGGAGGCCACGAGGTACCCGCGGCAGGCAAGCCCCAGAAGACGCTCGAAGGGGCA